GTCCTAGAAATTTTGCATGTGACATTCTTATAGCAAAAATTACAGAAGTTTGGAAGAATCACTGAAATGCTTTTTTGAGAGTTCTACTAATGCTGATTTTAAGCAATATTTACAGATAACTTACACCTCTATTACCAGCTAGGTAAGCGTCCTATTTTTTCATGTTGCACTTCATGAAGCCTCCTCCTCTCCCCTTCCCCCCATATTTTCTTTGAATGATGCACAGATTTCTTATTTAGGGTTGTCCCTAATATAGGATGTAGCACTTTTTCCCAGAGTAACAGCAGTACTTCCAGCTTTTGTGACCAATATTGCAAGCTGTGTCAGACCAAAGGGGATTACATGGCAGGAAGCCTGGAGGATTCAGTTTCATAGAATCATAGAATCATAGAATATCCTGAGTTGGAAGGGACCCTTAAGGATCATCAAGTCCAACTCTTGACAGCGCACAGGTCTACCCAAGTTCAGACCATGTGACTAAGCGCACAGTCCAATCTCTTCTTAAATTCAGTCAGGCTCGGTGCAGTGACCACTTCCCTGGGGAGCCTGTTCCAGTTTGGTGAAGGAAAGTTTCAGATGTCTTGGTTTCAGACACGATTTACAGCAAGAACTCCCCATTTAAAGATGAGTACAATATCAATTGAATTTCTGTCATACTGTAAGCAGAAGTAGTCAGAAAACAAAATTTTCATCATAAACTTAGAAGTAAAAAGCAATTAAGGGGAGCCCTCATTCAATCACCTTGTGAATGATGGCACAAATCAGGAAAAATGACACAGATTGGTAAACATTAAATTTCATAATTTAGCCAGAGTTTACTCAGGTTAGTAAGAGTGAAATGACATGACTTTCTTTGCCCACAGAAGCACGTTTTGGGAAGTCCAAGATTTGCAGCAGCCTCCTCAATAATAAGAGAATTAACTTCTCTTTCAAATAATGTCATTCCTTCAGCAAAGATCCAGCCTCAGTAGTACGATGATCTAGAACCAGCATTTATATTCTCAAAGAATTATGGCAGTCAGTAATAAGCCACAAACTGATGTTCTAGTTCAATTCTAATATTAAAGAATTGTTAGTACTTATTTAGAAGTAACAATGGATACAAAGAAAATACAGCAAGGTCATGCTTTATGCTAAGTAGTTCTTCCATAAATGGGTAATGATAAGAGTTTAACTTGAGCTTCATATTGAGTAGCTCAAGCCCAAGTTTGGAGCCAAATCATTCTAAGATGTCCACTGTCCACAACAATAACTCATCAACTTACACGGTATGTTAACTAGCTTAATAATAATGATTATTACATGCATATATTGCACTTCCTCGGTGTACCTGAAAATGTTCTTTTAACATTTGTCTCCAAAATGGATGAGAGATTAAAATCCTCACTATCGTTCATGGCACCGTTAAGACTCATTGCAGGATAATATTTTTTTAAAAGTTCACTTAATGGTGTCTTCTCAAACTCCCATTGGGGAAAAAAAATAAACATATATATATATATATATATATATATTATAAGAAAAAGAAAAAGAAGGTGAAATTACCTTAACCTAAATACAAATCACATTAAAGTAATTTCAAAGTTCAGCTGAGAGAAAGTATAATAGTTACATAGCAGCATTGCAATAAATTTGAAGTTAGCGCTCATGCAGAGAGCATGATAGTTATGGCAAGGTTGGTAAGTATTACTGTTATTAGAAAATGTTTCTTCCAATTTATATGTACATACATTTCTAATTGACCACCCTCTTTTAAGAGGAATTTTCTGTTGTTTCTTTATATGTAAAGCATTTCTCTAAGAAATTAATTAAAATAACTATTTAAAATTCTGTTCTTCAGGGTGCCAATATCACCTGCTGGAAATCACTATATATCAGGATTCATATTAGTTCACTAATCTGTCCTCTGGGAGGATTTTAGCTTTGTACAGAGAAACTGCAAAGGGTCTAGGCATTACTTAAATCCATTTAAATGCTTTGGTTGAACCTGATCCCGTTGTGCAATGGCAAAACTCCCACTGACTTCAGAGAGGCCAGGATTTCATGGCTCAGATTGTGCCTATGCCTTATACTTTACATGTGTGTACAGGAGAATCTAATACTAAAAGAAAAACAAAACAAAACAAAACTTCTGAGAAAAGAACTTTTGTTAGGTTGCTCCTTTAAAAAAGGGGTCGGGGGGTGGGGGTATGAACAGGGGTTGGAATTGAAGAGCACTGGAAGATATGCAACTATAGTGCCAGCAGATACACTTTTTTTTTTTTCCTTTAGAGGTAACAAGGACAAATATAGGTGCTTCAACAGCACCTTCATAGTTAACCATAGGGCCTTGTACATGGGGGGTTCTGTTTTCAAAGAGTCTATACATGAGCATATATTTAACTATCTTCTTAAGCACCAGATTTGCTTTTCCAATATTGCTGATTTTAAAGACAGCATAGTACTCTTACAGACAAGAATGAAGTCAAGCCAGAAAAACATGAAATGGATATGAAAAGGTACACGTTGGGCAGTTTGGAAAGCTCTCATTATAAACTTGAGCTGTGATTGGCTCAGACAAATGTTTTGGCACAAGCATCAGCACTCTGTTGGTCTTTATGCTTGTGAAATATTCACAACTTCCCCCAAAGGATAAAAAAGGATAGTTTAATTTACCAGCTTTCCTAAACTAATGAAATACCTATTAAAAATGTTGTGTTTACTGAAATTCAGTTTATAATTCTTTTAAGGATAAAACGAATGGGATTCACAGGATACCCCAGGATACTGTATTGTTCATCTATACAAACATTAACACTTTTTTCATCTACATAATTTCCATAATCAAACGGTTAAATTAACTTGCTTATGAAATCTAGATGCTGAGATCTCATGAACTGAAATGTAGGATCACTAATACACAGTAGACTCAAAAATTATACAAAAAGAGTTGTCTATTTACATTTGTAGTGTCTCAGAGATTTCTCACCATGGAACATGACACAACCTAGTCAACACATTTCAGAAAGAAATAGAGATGCAAATAGGAGGACTGCAGTCACATTATGTTCAAGCTGAGTGTGCAAACAGTATAAACAAACAGTAGACAGCTTGCTGCTCAAGTACTGGATTTGGTTTAAGTATTACTGAGCTCAGAACTCAGTCCAACAGAATTTGTACTAGGAAGTCAGCTGGAGAGTTAGAGTCCTTTATCTTGATTATATTGAATAGTATCGTATTTCTGAAGTAGGGAGCCAACTGTGAGACAAATTTTTGGAGTAAGTAAACTATTTAGGTAATGGTAAGATAACAAATTTATAATTTCAGATCACAGCTGTACATATCACAATTGCCTCAGACTCCCTAAGCAACTTCAGCAACTACTTATTCTCAAATTTCAATAAAACAGATATGGACCTCTACAAAATGCTAAAGAAACTAGGAAACAGATTGTTAAAGAGAAGCCAAGCATTTCACAGCCATGAAAGTCAGATAGCTCTGTCAGCTTCCATAACGGTCTCTCACCACAGTGAGCACCTAAAAGATTTATGAGATTTATACTTCAAATACGTGGGACTGCCAGAGATCTATCTACATGTAGAAGAGATCAGAAGGTACAAACCCAGAGTAACGGTGTCATGAATAAGATGGGTTTTGAACGCAAGCCAATTTGTAGTTCAATATTCCAATGATACAATGGACAGAAAGAATTGTATAATCAGAGCCTTTGCCAAGGAATGAAGACTACTAAAATAACCTATGCTGATCATAATTGCCTATATCAGTCCAATAAAGTTATTTATTGCCAGGACCTATAAACTCAATAAAAGACCTTTTATAGGATTCCTCATTTTTTCATCATAGAATACATGTTGACAGCCTAAGCAACTGAAAGGTGCAGCTTGTAAGTGTGCCATGCATATAAATTAACAGCTGATAGATTAATTGCCTGGTGCTAAAATCTGAAGCTTTTTACACTGTCTGTAGCTTTGGCATTTTTAATGAGCTTTTTCCATATGAGTGCCAGAAAATTAAAAAGGAGCCATCACTGCTTCCTTCAGTGACATCACTAAGAAACACGCAATCTTCCTATGTGTATGTATTACTGGGAATGAGCTTTCTTGGTCCTGCATGCTTCTTCTGGAAGCCCTTGATAAAGGCTTCCCTTTTACCTATTTCACTGTAAAGAAACAACATATGCACTTCTATACTGACAGCAAATCAGCATTCTTCGAACGAGCTCAGAAAAGCTTTTAAGATACAATACTTCCTATGGGGCATGAAGATCCTTTACAGACTGTCAAAGGAAAGGGGTTATCTACAATGAGTCAGAGATAACTCTTCAGAAAAGAATGATTTTCTTCCTCCCCCACCCCCAAGCTATTTTTCTTCACTTTAACACTCTAACTTTTGCAGTTTCACCAATTTATTTCCCCTTATTACACCATTAGAGTCATCAGTGCTGAAACTGTGCTATCCTCATTTTGCAGTAGGATTTTGAGTAGAACTCTTGAAAATAAATTAAAAAAAAAAAAAAGAGAGAGAGGAAAAGGAAGGAAGAAATTAAAAATTACATTCTACCTGGAGTAAAAGATATTAACAAAAGAAATATCCATGCTGAAGGTGCCAGTTTAACTTCCATTTCTTCTAACTGCTATTTCTTTTCAGATCAAAGGCTGCAAGTACCCAAAATCTCAAAGCTCCTGTCTAAAGACTATTTATATAAGCTTTCCCAGTGTCAATTATTACATCAACTTCACAGTGCAAACCTCAAATCCAGTGTGGGTGATGGCTATCCTGAGCCTATGGATCATGGAAACCTGGACTTCCCAGCAAATGGACTTTCAGGAAACCTGGCCAAATTTTGCAATCCTCCTACACCCCATCATGACAGCTAAGCTTCTGAAAAAAAAATCTGTGACTTCACAGAGATCTCACTTTTTCTTTTTCCATCTCTTATCAGGTGTAGGTTTTAAATGGAGCACTTGAAGTTTTAGAAAAAAAAAATCAACGTGACTCACATGTAGGCCTTGGTCAGGGGTACCCTGGGAGGCCATCATTGTCATTAATATTCACAACTGGTTCACTTTGTTTTCAGTGCATATTTTGTATGAATAGTTTTGTTGTTGTTGTTGTTTTTTGTAGATAGCATCTACCAAAGCTGCATTTCTTCATACCTATAAGAAATAAACACAGTTAATAAATACAGGGAGAAAAAAAAATCTGCTTGTTCCTTATGGTTTTTGTGTTTGTGTGTGTGCACTGATCATTTGTTTTATTGTTTTTAGTAATGGATAAGTCAGCATGAACAGTTTATACCCTCTTAAGCACAGGTAAAGGGGGATTGCCTAAATGAGTGGTTGCATTGGATTAAAATTTCATCTTTCTAACTGATGCACATTACAGTTATTTCCAGGTTGTAGATAAGCAGTGAAACAAAATAAGAGAACAGAGAACCACATTTCCCATGTTCTCATTCTACTTCTATTCAAAATCACTTTTTTGGGGCTCAGTTTCTTATTACAAGCAGCAAGATCAGTATTAAATAATAGATCAGCAGATAACTAGATCAAGTAGTTCTCCAGCCTCCACAGAGATAAGCAATCGGATCTTCCAGAAAGATTTTATATTACTTGGCACATTAAAAGCATAAAGAATATTCCAAGTACATCTATATCATCTGTTTTGTGTGTAGTGCTGTTAGAAAAATATATATTTCTGATGTCACTTTTTAAAACATATATACATTCATTAAGTTTTTACATTTAAAAAAATAAGAATCCATCACTCAAGCAGTCAAAATGAAAAACTAAAAGAAAAACAAGCAGAGTGTCTGTCACAAATATAATTATTTTCTGTGCATTAAATTATGACACTTAAGAACAGACTTGACAGCAATATGAAATTAAATTGTGATGAAGAATGTATGTAACATTTTTCAGAACTGCCTGAAAACAAAAGTTTCCCTATTTCAACTCATAAAATGAGGCTTTTTAAAAATCTCTACCATACAAAGATCTAGGACTAGTTTTCTGGATATTGGGTGAGCATCAGTTTACCAAGGATTGAAGAATGCTGCATTTACAGTTGTGTGCCTACATACTCTCAGTAAGACACCCACAAGTTCCCCTCCTATAACATTCAAATCCAAACTTAATTTTTGATGAAGTTGATGAAAGGGGAAATGTTTAAATGATGCTGAATGGTTAAACCACAAAATTTCCACATGCAGAAGAGGCAGAAATAGTCTAACACTTTTCTCTACTTTGATGTTTGTTAATCTAAGTCTTATTCGTATGTATAAAAACATGAGAAATACAAATGCTTCATCTTGATTCAGGATTAGAAACCCTCAATTCTGTAACTCTTGCTCATTTGAGGAATCTTATTTCCATTATCATCATTTACTTTGAGTGACTGCAGAAAATAAGTTTCACATTACTACAAACATCTCTCAAAGAACTGTGCCAATAGAAACCAGCGACATATATATTGAAGCTAAAGACAAAATGAAATTTTATATGAATGAAAAAAGTAAGGTCGCTAATAGAAATGTACTTGGAATATTATTTATGCTTCTAATGTGCCAAAATTAATGAAAAAATGAAGGGAAAAAGTAGAGGAAAAGGGGGGAAGGAGTGTTAAATATGTGCAAATTTTATTATCCAAGTACTTTGCATTGCATGTTTTTAAAAACACTGAGGTTAAATAAAGTCATCTATGGGAATCTCTCTTTTTGTTATAGAAACAAAGACTTTGAAAGTTAACACCAATATTGCAAAATACTAGAAGTTGTCCTTCTGTCACTTGGCAATTAAAGAATTTTAGTCTTAAAGGTATTTTAAAATTTGCATTGGCATAAAAAGGTAAAACATTGACTATAAAAACGTATTGTTTTGGAGAACAGAGATATTTGGATTAGATGAGAGAACTATCACCACAAACAGATTCACTCCAAGTCATTTAATACTCCCCTGAAAAGCTCCTCCTTCCCAGTGACAGCTAAGATTATCCTTTTCATTTATTTAATGTTTACTTTACTCTCCAGGCAATTGCCATTCCATATCTGAGCCATCCCAGTACAATCTCTGGCTTTTCACCTCCTGCCCTTATCTTCTCCTTTGGCGCTTCACACAAGGAACAAATGCAGAACACAGAACTAAAAGCTGCTTTCAGATCATTCGTGTTATCAGCTAAATATAAGAGAATAGCAGTGTAGACTGTGAACAACATTTTATGAAATGGAAAAAGCCTTCAAAGAAGCCCATGTGTATTCCCCACCCCTTTTTTTTACTTATATTTTAATCAATCAAATAAACAATATAGATCACTGCATATACTGAAGAAGAAATCCTTGCCAAATGCACTGCATTCACATTAAAAGCATTCATGATACATCATGAACACCAGGAAACAATAATAAACAGTCATCCCCAAATATCAAGTATTATAAATCAATCAAAATGTAGATCTATACTTTGGACTTCAACTTGTTTGTTTGTTTTTTAAAGCCTTCACCCTCCCTTGGAAAACACTGTCTGCTTAGAGGTACAAATGGGTGTTGACAGACATGTGCGAGGAAACTGTGCTGCATTCAGAAACATGCATTTTCTCAAGGTCTTATTAACCAGAAGCACTTCGATGTCTAAGCTATCAGGTGAATATTATGTGAATATGCCAGCATATAACTAGAATAATCAAAATGTGAGCACGGAGAGAGTCAGCTAATTGTTTACTCAACAGAAATAAACAGCAATGCATGAAAAGAGAAATTGTCTTTTAAACCACAGACACATGATTTACTTTCATAACACTAAAACTTTGGCTAATTGCAATGTTCCCTATTTCTACCAACAGAAAACTACATGCTTTTCTCTGAAGAGTTAAAAAGCACATAAAATTTACAGTTACTTTCAAGCCAGATGTATCTGTAGCTCCTCACTATGCATTTTTTGTATATTTTGTGTAAATCCTATCTATCATTTATTGTTTATTTTGATTAAAAAAATAAAAATAAGAAAATTCCAAGCCTCGGAACTTCCTTAAAAGTTAGCACTTTCAAATACAGGAAAGTTGTCTGTAGCCTTGTGATTTCCTCCCTGGGTCTCTACTGCAGCGTATAAAAACACCACTGCTGTACTTATATCACAGAAAACAGATCAAATTCCAGCAGTTGGGGATTTGTGGGTGGCAAATAAATCTGCTTAGCTTGAGAACACACTTATATTTCTCTACTACTTTGTCAGTTGGTAGAAGAGAAATTAGAGAAAACTGAGAGATTGAGAGATTAAGAAACCAGAGAGAAGTCATTCAGGCATATCAGTGCAGAGTTGCAGTTACTTTTCTGATCACTTTAACAGAGTCTAAGTTTTCTATGTCAGCTGCACTGTAGGAAGAGGTCATTTAAACACTTTTAGTTTCATTATAAAGTCAAATGAGAAAGACTGAACGACAAGAACTGAAGTGCGAAATATACTCAGGCCGGAACACTTGCCTTGATTCTGAAAATAATATTTGTATATATTTAATATGGTTACAGAGTCCAATAAATGTGAAAATTCTAATAACCAATGTTAAACTAGCTGACTAACAGCCTAGATGGAGATGGGGCAGTGTGTGTTTGTATTGTAGGAAAGTGCAGTCATCAGAGTCACAGTTCCCATCACACAGTGAGCAGCAGCAACAAGCATCAGCCCACTACCAGCTATCTCTGCAGAAGACTTCCATCCCATGCTTACACAGCTATTCAGACATTTTAAAAGGCTTAAATTCCCTTTATCTTAGATTTTAGCATAGTTACATGGTAGGTAGTTTGTTTTTGTTGTTGTTTAGTTGGGGATTTTTTGGTTTTGCTCTTGTTATTTCTTTATAAAAACAGCAAGACATGCAAATAGAAGAGAGGGATATATTCACAGCAGCCCAACGAAACTATTCACTCTACTTCTTCCTGTCTCGCAGCTAAGGAAGCTTCTGCTCATTTGTCTTCTCCTGGAAGAAAACACAGGGCAGCACAGGGGACAAGCATGTTAAACCTTCCCCTTCCTCTTCCTGAAAACACTGCTTCAGAGAATAATATTGTTTAGAGCAGCAAGGTCTCGAATGATAAAAGCACAATTTGGGCATACACATAAAATCTAAGTACTTTCTTAGCTATATAATAACTTGAACACTGAAGTACTTCGTTTTCTTTTGGGTCAGATCATGTCAAAAAGCTTTACAAGCTTCTGGACATCTGCTAAACTGTTTTCTCCTAAAGCATACTTTTATTTTTCATATACAAACCAAGCAGGGTTTGCTACTTGACACCCTGCAGCAAACAGGCACCTTGCATTTACTTTGAAAGCATTGATTTGTTTCATGTTATCACTGGGCAAATTTCCTTCTATCCCTCAGTCTCTTTTATGAAGGTTCAAATAAGAACAGAATAAAGATTAGAAAAAAGTTTACTCCTTGCACTTGCACCCTGTCTAAAAGATACGCAGACTGATGACAGACTGCTGAGAACAAATGATCCCATATTTTTTTCCAAATCCTATTTCTAAATCTCATTCATTTAAAAGCCATTTTCCTCCTGCAATTTAATGTATCGTCAAGGAATAACACTCACGGAAGCTCAAGAACGAGTGAAAGGAATGGTAAGAAATGTACCATGTACCATAACACACAAGCACTTCTTTGGGTTTAAGGTTTCTGGCACAACAACAAACATTTGACTCCATTAACTCCCATGAACAATGCTCCATCATAATCTGTCAGCACACATGCATATTTTCATGTCTGTATTGCTAACAAAGTTCTTCAGCCATACTTCTATTTGGAACATCGATACTTTTCAGAGCCATCACTTAAAATATGATCATTATTGCCTCTAGGCAAACCATTTTAATTCATTCTCAATTCATATGAATTAAAATTAATTGATCTTGGCTCAAGCAGCACAACTTTTTAAATTCATGTTTTAATTCAATTTTAATTTGTATGAATTAAAATACATTGATCTAGGCTCAAGCAGTAATTTTTTTCTCACTTGTTTCCCTATAAATATTCCAAAAGCCACAACATCTGTTGATGACAAACTCCATTGAAAAAGGGATTTGATAACAACACTAATTCATCAGCAAGTCTGCTGGTCTGCTGGTCCTGGACCCAGGACAATATTAGTTTCACCTGAGAAGCA